TCTCTATCGTTCCAGTCGTCACCCTCTTATGTATGGAATCGGATTAATGCTATACGGGGTACTCGACGGGAGGCCTCCTCCCCACCCTGACCCCGCCTCCCTTGCCTGCTCTTTAATGGAGGACTGGGCACGAGCTTCCTCCCCTGAGGCACTTCCAGATCCAATGCATGAGGCAGTGCAGGCTCGCATCGATGCGTCTGAGCCTGTAGTTCGTGCTGCTCTTACCTCCCCTGCCCCCACTGATCATCCCATCACACAGTTCGACCTTGACAGTGCTCGTCGCTCTAGAAAAGACACCTCTCCTGGGGATGATCAGATAACCTACTCCGTCCTCAACGCCTGTACTAATATTCCTAACGGCCCCTTGCTTGCTCTCTACAATATGTCTTATGAACATGGGGTTCTCCCGTCCAACTGGAAAAATGCCACTATTATCCCCATCCCTAAGCCGGGAGATCCTGGGAAATATCGACTCATTAGTCTTACCTCCTGTGTTTGCAAGATGATGGAGAGGATACTCCATCGTCGCCTTCTTCACACCAAAGGCGGCTTCCACAACTACCTCAATGGTTTCATACAACATCGCAGCACAGCACACTACATTGCTTCCTTTTATTGCAATCAGACTGCCCGCGTCTCCGTCTTCCTTGATATCAAGGGAGCCTTTGATACGGCTCAGCCTGCCCTCATTTTAGCTGAACTTGCGCGGTTAGGGGTTAAAGGGAGACTTTCACAATGGATCGCCTCTTACCTCACTGGACGTCAGGCCCGGGTTCGCGTTGAAGGCTCTATGTCTCCTGTTCAAGAAATGAACCTCGGCACCCCTCAAGGTGGAGTCCTGAGTCCCACCTTGTTTAACACTCTCATGCACTCCATTGCATCTCTCCTGTGGCCGACAGAAGTTGTCCACTCAGGATATGCCGACGATGTCCTCCTCCAAGCCCCTGACTACCTCAGCATGCAGGAAGCCCTTGATCTGGTCTCCAGAGAGTGATTCACTTGGTTTCCTTCTTTCAACTGCGAAAACAAAAGCCATGTGGCACGATCGTGTTGTACCTCCACCCCTTCTCTTATGAGGAACGCCCTTGGACTGGGTTGATGAGACAAAATACCTGAGTGTGTATGTAACTCGCACACGTTGTCAGATCCCTGAAGTCCGCTATCTTCGAGACATATGCTTTCGCCGTCTCGCTCCCCTCTCTACCATGTGCAGGGGTTCCCTTGGTGCCACCATCCCTGTACTTCTCACCATGTACAAGTCCTTTGTCCGTTCCTGTGTCGACTACACCGCCCCTGCCCTCGTCAACATTACTCGGACTGCTGTCAACCGTCTCGAAGTTATCCAGAGGAAAGCTGCTCGTATCATCCTTGGGCTCCTCAGTGGACACGCTCTACTTCTCTATATACCGGACTTGGTCTTTCCCCCTTACAGGATCGTGTCCAGGAGTTTTACCTAAAAACTGCCGTTTCCATTCTACGGGATCCTCGGGGCAACTATGTCCAAACCAACTTGACTCCTGCTGTTCGAGGCCGACCTCCATCTAGAAGACAGTGGTGAGGGTCATTCATCCGAGCCCTTCAGGAACACGACCTCCTGCCTGATATTGTTGTCACCCCTGCTGTTGGTTCGTCTCCTTCTCCCTGGCTGGATTTTCAATCTGAAGTGATTGCCCTCGGTGGACCGCTCCCGCAATCCCACGTGAACTCTGTTATTCTCTGCAAATACCACCTCTCCAGGATCGCCCACTGGTCCCCAGGTAGGGTCGTCCTCTACACTGATGGTTCTGTTGACCCTGCTACAGGTAGGGCCGGGGCTGGTGTCTACATCTCCCGCCCTGATGCCCCTGAGCCTATCAAACTGTCTCTCAGAGTTTCTGACGGGGCATCCTCCACTCAGGCTGAACTAATAGCCCTCCTTGCTGCCCTTCTCGCTGAGGAAGAAGCAGATGGTTTCTGCCCCTTGCTTGTCTGCTGCGATTCCAGGTCTGCTCTCGACGGGATAGCATTTGGATCAGGGGAAAATAAGGACCTCATCCTCCGAATACGAGGGTTAACATCCACACTTCAGGATGCAGGCCGTCCTGTGACATTCCTATGGATACCCAGTCATGTCGGTATCTTGGGGAATGCGGCAGCAGATGGCCTTGTCAAGACTGGCTGCAACAAGGCCACACCTTACTACGTTGTTCCTCGAACACTCTTACAGATTAGGACCCAAATTCGCCGCAAACAGAGAGAAGCTCGGGAAGCAGCCATCCCACTGGATTCCCCGCCCACCTGGTACGATGTCCTCCGTAAACTTCCTGACCTCTCGTACGTCTACAGGAAAGGGTCGCGGAAAGGGGACGTGATTGCTGCCCGTATCATCATTGGGTATGACTTTGCTTGGGAGATTGGTATCCCCACATCCCCTGAGCAACGCTCTTGTGCATTATGCAGAAGACCCGACAGCAGCACCCTTATCCACTACCTCCTAAGATGTCCCCACACACAACGCTTCCGTGACGCCTGCTGGACCACCACTCCACGACCCCCTGACGGAGACACGATGGTCCTCCCCATACTGGCCAGATATTTTGTAAATAATATTGATTATGTGTTAAAGGAATATCCTTCCTTCCTTAGGCTTTAGTAAGCCCCTTTATAATATTTATACTGTAGTGTATATACTTGTCACACTTGCCAGATGCTTCTGGTGTCATTGTACAGGGGTACCTAGTGACAGCACTAGGATCCCGCTTCCTCTATCAAGGAATAAACAATTAAAATTGAAATTGAAATTGATTATTTCCGAAACGTTAGCGATTAAAAGTAGCCCACATGGTCAAGATGTTTGTGTTTACCCTGGTTCTCCTCTTGGTTATAAAACTACGCTTTCCACGTAACAAGTCTATTGCTGAAGTTATATATATATATATATATATATATATATATATATATATATATATATATATATATATATATATATATATATATATATATATATATATATATATATATATATATATATATATATATATACCTACTGTACATACTGCATATTTACTGCTTGTCCACATACACACACATAAACTTTCTCTCTCCTCCATGACGTCTAAATAAAATTTCTGTAAATGCTGTTAAAAAAATATGAGTGAATTAAATGACAGTTGCTTTAATAGACAAATAATACTGGTAACAGAAGCACTGTGAGTGTTGTAACTGCCCCACAGAAAGGTGTATATCTCCATAATTTTTAACTGTGTTGTTGTAGCACAGTAAAACGTCGCTAACGTTATCATAATATTAAAAACTTCAATACTAAGGTCTTTAAGCAGGGCCAGTGCAAGATGATTTGGCGCCCTAGGCAAGCCTTTAGATGTGCGCCCCCTTGAAAGTTTTGATAAGCTAATGTAGGTACAGTAACCCATGACTACATTGTTTTCATCTTGTGGCTTTATTACTTCATCCATGCAAATAACCAATTATTGTTATTACATAAGTCAATAAATCCTTGACGTAAACTTCAGAGGTCAGGTAACCTTGCCTCATCCCGACAAAGGCAGGGAAGGGGCGGCTCAGCCGCCCTGGCAGTAAGGGAGGGGAGGGGATGGTGGGGTTGGGAGAAGGGTTCCTCAGATGTCAGCCTTCAGGTCACTGCTCGACAGTTCTCCAGGCCACCAAAGATAAGGACCCGGGTTAGTCCCTCCGGGGGGTTAACGAATAATATTAAAAAAGAAAACACAGTCGGCTACCCTCGCCTCCCTCCGACCCCCCACCCTTCTAACATCCTGCTCCGACCCTCCACGGCTCCACCACAGTGTCCACCACAGTTTTCCCTTCATTTTTAATTTTATCCAAGTTTGCCCTGAATTTGTGGCGCCCCCAGATGTTGGCGCCCTAGGCGATCGCCTAGTTCGCCTAGTGGGTAGCGCCGGCCCTGTCTTTAAGCACATAACAAGGTTAGTAGTTACTCTAGTCCACCGAAAAGTAAGAATGGCATGAGATAAAACTCGCTCTGTGTTACGATTGTTGACACATAATGATAAAAAAGTTATGGCCATAATTATTGGACTTAATTGATAAATTGATACTAATTTTTTTCTGTACACTGGTGTCACCCACCCTGTTGGCACATGCATGTCCTGGCGGTAGGTATGTTAGCGAGCGAGCAGTAAATGAGTAAGTATTGCATTTTCACATTGATTAGATTAGAATCATGTGAGGTGAGAAAAAACCCCGATTTTTTTCAATCTCCCAAGGTGTATTGTCTATAAGTGTAACTAATCACTTACAGTTAAGAAAGTGACAATAACAGGAAAACAAACTTCCATAATCGCATATATTGTCTGACTTGATGACAGTTGAATTACAAAGAGACAAAAGTTGCCTAAATCTCCAACAATAATGCAGTGTCATGTATTCTGCATCATCATGTTTGATGCCAAAGACGGTGTCTGATAATATTCCGTTATTGCTGTTGTATTGTACTTACGTGCCTCAATAACTTCACTAGACAACAACTGTTAACAAATACAAAAAGTAAACCTTTTGTCAAGGAAGAGCCAAGACATATGTAAAACATTTGCTCAGCAGACTTGGGGTCCTCTGCAAGGAGTATAACACTGAATCATTTTCTAAGAATAATCCTTCCTCGTAGATACATTGCATTGTAATTGAGTTTTACTACTCCACGAAAATTATGGTAGTTTGTTAAACCAAAAATGCATACATGCATATATACACGGCCCAAATAGGCTACCGTCAACACCAAGTGTTAAATCAGACCATAAAACAATATACAAATATGTGTTGTCATTCGACGATCATGTGTTAGTTTTGCATAACTCACATTCTTGGGGAAATGATTGGTGAAGTTTAAATCAATAAATCTCACTATTAATACAACTGAGGTGATGGAGAGGAACAAGTGGCGGTTGATGGTGACCGCCATTATTGTTGGTATTTGGTAATTCTCAAACAATAGGATGAACAGATAAGAGAGATGTTGGGTGACTTACATTAAGAGTCAGTGTGACTATTCGTGACGGGAGACACCTGTTGGCGGGGCGAGGTAAACAAAGACAATGATGAAAAACTTTGTGTCGCTCCATTTATTTGGTTACTCGCACACCACATAAAGGTCACGAGTCGTTGGATTCAAATGCGCACCTTGATGGTGTGTACGCTTAGAAAGACTAAAATATATTGATTATTTAATACACTTTTCTTACATATTTATTAATGACACAAGACACATGGTGTGAAAATGATATATATATTGTCAGTATTATTATTTTTATTGAATCTACTGTAGTCTCATTAAACATACCGAAACTGTTATCATTGAGTGATGGCATATACAAACTGGACAATTTTGGCATTAAGAAGATTTGTAACCAAGAAAAAGGGTTGGGTCACCCCTTATAAAGTGGAATATGGTGGACACTTGCTGGCCTTAAGGGTTTCGATCTTACTCTCCTTTACTGTATATATTGGGCTTGTTACTAACTACTCCTTAGTCGGTATAATAGCATTCACCGAAACATGGATGAACTTTGACTCACGGCAGTTACCCGTCGAATACCAAATTAAAGGTTACAAATTATTTCATACCGATAGGCAGATTAGGTAAGGAGGCGGAGTAGCATTCTGTGTCAGGCATAATTTAAAGTATGAAATCAATAAGGAAATAAAAATGAGCCGAATAGTTAACCGATGGTCGGGAAAATTAATCACAGGAGTAATATATAGAACTCTTAATCTCGATAGAGTTAATGAGCGACTTATTTAAGATGAAATACGCAGGGCATCCAGACATAGAAAAGTCTGTATAGTAGGCGACTTTATCTTTAGTCAAATAGATTAGACTGACCTTACGGGTAACTCAGAATCAGAGGTTTTTCTTGAAACAGTTCAGGACTGTTTCCCAGGTCAACATATAACCGAACCCACCCGGGGGAATAATATACTAGATTTAGTTCTGTCAATACACAAACCTCATCCGTAATGATCGATGTAGGGAACGACCTAGCTAACAGTGACCTCAAAGGTGTGATATTCAAAGTAAAGTTTAATGTCAGTTGCAAGGAAAATTCCATTAAAGGCCCAGATTTCAGAAAGGGCAAACTTTGATAGGTTGAAAAGGCAGCTGAGAGAAGGGATATTACGTTTGGGAGGTGATTTACATGACCTCATGTGAGGTGGTAAATAACATGCTTCACACTATGATAACCTGACAAAAATAACCACTTAGGGTTACCTGACCATGAGACCTGAGGTTGACGAATTCCACAATAATTTAGATAATGAGTTACTTAATGCACAAAGGCAGAACATACCATACAGAAAACTCAGATCAAACAACAAAGACCCATATGGATAAACAATATTTTATACAATATTATTGGACAATGGAAGGCTATAGGTAGAAGAAGAAATCGTGGTTATGTTTACCTCCGAGAATATTATAGAGTACTGACCAGTAGGGTTAAGACCGAGATAAGAAAAACAAAGAGGTATACTGAAATGAAGTTAGCAAGGGAGGCGAAGTCAAACCATAAGGGATTCTTTCAAATGTATCAAAATAAAACTTGAGACAAGAGTGGACCAAAACAGACAGCTACCAGCGAACTAACTAATAACGGAGAAATGAGCAATAAACTGATCAGATATTTTTCATCAGTTTTCACCGACTATCTCCGGTGATAGCGAAGAAAATAGATTAAGCGATATAGTAAAGACTAGTAACGATGTTAGTAACCAACTATATAAACTAAACCCTAATAAGTTGCCAGTTTAAGACGAAATATTTGCCAGAGCATAAAAAAAAAATATGTAAGGAAGAACTTAGTATGCCATTAGCAAACTTGTTTAACATATCATTGAAAACCGGTGTAGTACCAGAGCCCTGGAAGATAGAACATAAGAATGGAGGAAACTGCAGTGGGCCTATTGGCCCATACTGAGCAATCCCATTTGCACCCAACCCCTATTGCTCATATAAGCATCCAACCTATGTTTGAAGCTATCCAGCGTATTCGAGTTAATGATGATGTTTGGTAACTTGTTCCACTCATCCACTACTCTATTTCCAAATAAGTTTACCTATTTCGCGCCTAAATCTAAATTTGTCTAATTTAAAAATATGGTTACCAGTTCGCTCCTGGTTGGATAGTTTGAGTACCTTTGTAATGTCACCTTTGTTTAGCCCTGACTTCCATTTATACACCTCTATCATATCGCCTCTCACTCTACGTCTCTCGAGGGAGTGCAAATTAAGATGCTTTAAATTGTTTCTGTACTCAAGGCTCCTAATGCCCGGGATTAACATGTCATTTTCCTCTGAATTTTTTCTATGGATTTTATATCCATTCTGTAGTACGGTGACCAGAATTGAACTGCGTAATCCAAGTGAGGTCTCACAAGCGCAAGATATAGTTTTGGATGACCTCGTTAGTCTCGTAACTAACACTCCTTTGTATGAACCCAAGTACTTAGTTAGCCTTGTTTCGAGCAAATACACATTGTTTACTTGGTTTAAGATTCCTATTTATCATTACTCTTAAATCTTTCTCGCAGTCAGGTTTCTCTATAACTTCGTTGTTCATTTGGTATCTGGTTTCTCTGTTTACATCTCCTAGATTAAATTCTTTACATTTGTCCACAATAAATTTCATCTGCCATTTTTCAGACCATTCGAAAATTTATTTATATCTTCCAGTTTATGGAGGAGTCCTCGCCCTATTTTAGTGTCATCAGCAGATTTACTTATGCTGCTGTCTACGCCTATATCTATGTCGTTTATGTATATAATAAATAATAATGGCCTTGGGGTACTCCACTAGTGACTATACTCCAATCTGATTAAGTGCCGTTAATGCTTATTCGCTGTTTCCTGTCCTGTAACCACTCACTAATCCACTTTAGAATATCTCCTCCAATGCCATGAGCCTCCACTCTTCTTATTAGTCTTTCGTGGGGTACTCTGTCGAAGGCTTTGCCAAAGTCAAGATATACCACATCATAGTAGTGCCTCTCGTCTACTAATTCGAAAACAGCTGAAAAGAATACTAATAGATTAGTTAGACATGAACGCCATTCAGTCAGTTTGACAGCAATTATTGCCAAATTGATGGAGGTAGCAATTTCAAATGAAATTCGAAATCACTTTGAGAAACACAAATCGACCAATGCTTCCCAGCATGGATTCAAATGAGGGCGTTCATGTCTGACAAATCTATTATCATTTTTTTGAACTGTTTTCAAATCAGTGGATGACGAACATAATTATGAGGTGATTTACCTCAACTTTAGCAAAGCCTTCGACTGGGTCCTCCATGAAAGGCTTATAAGTAAAGTAGAGACATGGAATTGGAGATCTTTTAAATTGGTTCAGGGCTTGGTCATAATTAATGGCACTAAATTCAATTAGAGTAATGTCACTAGTGGAATACCCCAAGGCTCAGTATTTGGACCATTACTATTTATTATATACATAAACGATATAGATATAGGCCGAGACAGCAACATAAGTAAATTTGGTGACGATACTAAAATAGAGCATGTAATTAAACCTGACAAGGACTCCTCAAAACTACAGGAAGTTAAAAAAAATCACATGGTTTGAAAAATGGGAGGTGAAATTTAATGTGGACAAATGTAAAGTACTGTACTTCTTCTAGGAAATGTAAACAGAGAAACCAGATATCAGATGAACAATGTTGATATTGAGAAATCCGACTGTGAAAAAGATTTAGGGGTAATGATAACTAGGAATCTTAATCCTTTTAGCGTGGTAATTAAACATTTTGATGGCTCTCCATATGTTTTTTCTTATTTTAGAAATTAGTATTGAATAATAACATTAACCAATGTATGTCAGATAATTTATCTCAAGTTTTCTGATTCTCGCAGAAACACCAAAAATGTTTTATACCATATATAAACTATACTGCAGAACTTTCAATTTCCCAAAAAGTCGACTAAGTGCTGTGCACCGCGCTGCCAAACGTATTATACATACGAATTGGCAGCGCGGCGCACATCTTTGATGTTTCTACCAGATGTATGATACACACGCTTACATCTTGCAATTTATTTCTTATCGAAAATATCAGAGAATTAACATTTTCATTGTCGTTGCTCTGAGAACAGACAAATAATGTACTATTAGCCAGACATAAATTGTTAGAATCTTACTTTCCAGCATAGTCCAATACTTGGTCCCAGATTGGTGACTGTTTCAGTGTGTAATGTATACCTGTATATACGCATATACATAATAATAATAATAATAATAATAATAATGATAATAATAATAATAATGATAATAATAATAATAATAATAATGATAATAATAATAATAATAATAATAATAATAATAATAATAATAATGATAATATTAATAATAATAATAATAATAATAATAATAATAATGATAATAATAATAATAATAATAATAATAATAATAATATTAATAATAATAATAATAATAATAATAATAATAATAATAATAATAATAATAATAATAATAATAATATTAATAATAATAATGGCAAGAAGAAAGAAATATAAGATTGTAATATCAGGAAGGGAGGAAGAGGTGTCATAATATGGAATAAATTATGTTTGTGTTTACCTTTACCTTAAATGTTCTCTTGTTCTAATTGGGTTTTGTTTTGTTCTGTTGCAGATGTATATGGATTTATGAGTTAAATATAGCCTTGATTACTGAAGGTGTTTGATATCATACGAAAATTTATTCAACTCATATTCTACTAGCAACATGGAACGCATACTCTGCCCCGACAAGCTTGATGTTGATCCAAATTCCCCAGCTGCTGAGAAGGAATACAAGCATTGGCGTAAAACTTTTGAAAACCTTATTGATGAGTGTGGAGACAGAGCGCCTGACAAACTACAATGTTTGACAAAATATGTGTCTGCTACTGTGCATGAATACTTTGTTGATGCTACGGAGTTTGAAACCGCTATACAAGTGTTGGAAAGGGTATATATGAAAAAGAAAAATGAGATATTTGCCAGACACCAGCTCGCCACAAGACG